GACCCAGATTAACTTGAAGGTGTGAGGGGTGCAGGAGCAAGAGACAAGTGGGCAACCCTACAGCTTCTGGCTGGTCTCAACTGGTCTCAACTCAACTTTTCAGAGAGTCTGAAGGGGCCATGGCCTCAGGCAAGAGTTTCCTTGGACTTGGCCTGGGCAGTGCCTTCTGTTCTTGAAGTGCTAGGAGTAAGCTCCAGCCACCTGCAGGGCTTAAGCCCTGGAGGTGAGTTTAGGTCCCAGCTCCACAATCCAGCTCAGGACTGGTATCCCTTCCTGGGCTGACCTGTACTTTCATCAGAGGCCTGGCCTCAAAATACTGGAAACCACCAGAACAATCAGTCACCGACCCCAAAGTCTTTGATTCATGGTCGCATAGAGACAGGCAAGTCTCCACATGTCCGATCTTGGAAATTCAGATTCAACCCAGAACTCTGATGCACAGAGCGAAGCCCCTCCCCCACCACAGTCCCCCACCCCCAGAAGCTGCAGAGGCCAGCTCACTGCAAAGGTGGCCCTGGCACAGGGCTCTAGGAAGCTGGGCAGGGGCACCCTGGAGCTAGGAAGCTATGCTCAGTCTGTCTGGTTCAGCTCCTGTGAAATGAATGGGGTTCCTTTGAAAAAAATCAACCATGGGTCCCATGGGGGGGGGGGGGGGGTTGCAGTGGAGGTTGGAGCTGTGGGGGTGGGGTGGGGGAAGCAGCAAATTCGGTCAGAGCCACCCAAGCACGTCCCCGCTGCTCTGCTCCCGCGGTGCTCCACCTCCCACAATAGCGCCGACTATGCCGTGCCTTTCTTCCTCCTGGATCCCAGTTGTCAAGCCTTCAAGAAAATGCACTTGAGTTCTTTGTCACTGACTGTAATTTGATAAACTGAGCAGAAACACACTGCTCTCCCCATCCTTTCAAAAACTGTTACTGCCAGAGAAAGAGGATGAGGGAAAGAGATCTGAGGGCTTTGAGCAGACGTTTAAGCCCGAGCGCACGCGCGCACTCACTCACACACACACACACACACACACGCATGCACACACACACACACACACGCATGCATACACACACACACACACACACACACACACACACGCCCATGTCTACGCCTGCAAGCACTCACGTACAGGAACTCATCCACATACCAGGACCTAGAGTTGCCTGGGATGGAAGGAGGTTGGATCCCAGATTCTTGTGTGTGTGTGCGTGTGTGTGTGTGTGTGTGTGTGTGTGTGTGTGTGTATGGGGGGTGGCTGGGCTTGGGGTCCCAGGGCAGATGCCCTCCCGGCTCCTAGCGACTCCCCTAGTTGCAGGCCCAGCTGCAAACGCCCAGTGGGCGGTGCCAGGGCAGGTCCTAGGCTATAAAGGGCTCTGGGCTCCCGGGGCCTCGGGGAACGCCATCACTTCAGCGGTGTCCCTGCCAGTCACAGCCAGCTCTGGGCACTGCTGGGCCGAGACTCACTGCCCCGCCACACTTTCCCAGGCAGTGCCGACTTACACGGCTGTCAGTTGCGGTCTGTGCCCACCCTGTGTTCTCCATAGGCAAGTGCCTTCTGTGAGTCTTTCTTCTGGGCTGGGTGTGGGCAGGGGGCGGGGAGGGGGGGAGAGCCTCAGGATGGGGTCGGGAAAGATGGAGAGATCCTTCCCTAATTCCTTAAGGACCAGTCATGATGCTGAGGGATCTGAGAGGCTTAGGCTTGTTCAGTCGTCAGGCAGAGAATAAAGCAGCTTTCCGAAGGCACCCCCTTGCTGGGACTACAAGGGAGTGGGGGGTGGGGGCTATGGTCCTAATTGGTCATCTGAGAGGAATGGGGGGGAGTGCGGTGAGGAACCAGGCTTTGCTGTGGGCTGGCACTGCCACAGATCCACACTCAGACAAGGGGTGTAATTTGTAAAAAAAAAAAAAAAACTTGAACTCAAAGCCCCCAAACAAAAACAAAATCCCTAAAGATTCAAGGATGAGCAGATCGCTGAAGATGGGGTGGTGCGGCTCTGGCAAAAATCCGTAGGGTCCAGAGCAGCGCCAGAGGCGGAGGATTCCAGAGAATCAAGAAGGCAGCTGAGGGAACTCGGGGCTTCATAAATAAATGTTTGCCTCAACCAGCTGGTTTGGGGAAGGGGCAGGGAGGTCAACCTTCGGGGGTTCCAGAAAAGCCACCTTCATGGCAGTGATTTCCAAGTGAACTGGGTTCATTTGCCACCCAAAAGTAGCCTGGCCAGTGGGGCGCAGGCTGTTCAGAGCACCAGGGCAGAGTGGGGACATGTCCTCTACTCTGTCCTTGAGGACTGGGCACCAGAGGGTGCTGGCAGCCTGGCAAGGCTGTTGTGCACAGATGAGGAGGAGACAGGCACCCCAGCCTGATGAAGCCCCTCCGAGACTGAGGTCGGGAGCTGGGAATCCAGGGCCCCAGGGGTGCTGGGATGGGCTGGTGCTGAGGTGGGGGTGTAGGGAATCCTGTCGTGGAGGCCTGGTGTCCAGGAAGGGGCTCCCCATCACAGAGCCTCCGGGGGAAACAGAACTTCATTTCCCCAGTGGACGTGAAATCTTGGGGCAGGGGGGACGGTGCTGAGAGCTTCTGTCTAAGGGCCTCTCCGGGCCAGCCAACGGGGCAGAGCAGAGACACTCTCGGAGCCAAAGTCAGGAGGGTGGGGGGGGGGGGCTCAAGTGGGGTGACCTCAGTACAGTGGGATTAGATCCCTGAGTTGCTGCCTGCTCCCCACCCACCTCCTCCTACAACCTCCCACCCCCACCCCATTTATCTTGGGCTCTCTTCACCTCTCCTTTTGGCTCTGATCGCAGGAAGCAGAGTTTTGAGCGTCACTTAAAAAAAAAAATGCCAATTACAAAAAAAAAAAAATTTCAGGGCCCAAATGATGCAAAATTGACGCTTTCTGAGCGTGGAACATGGAGGACTCTGCTGTCAGCTGTAATGGTGAGAAGCTCAGCAGGGAACAAAGCGGGCAGCCACCATGTGGGGCGGACCCGCTTCCTGCTCCCAGGGTTGTGGGCTTGCTGGTGTCAGGACAAAGCCCCAAGGAGGGGGGGGCCAGGGGCCTCAGTTTTCTCATCAGCACAGAAAGGAGCAAGTAACCTGAATAGTGAACAAGCAGCCAGCGCCGCTAGCTCCTCGGTTGCTGTGCAGAGAGAGAGGGAGCAGGAAGGCCCCCGGTGAAGATGGGAGCTGGAAGCTCAGTCATTCACCGCACAGAGCACCCCCGGGGCTCCCGGAGAGCAGGAAGCAGCTTTGCCCTGTGGACAGATTTTTTTTTTGAGCCTGGGAAGAAATCGGGTGTAGAGGTTGCGCTTTGCCTCATTGTCTGTTAAGGGCTTGCCCCCATATCCTCCCAGCCCCTCGCCCCGGCACTGCCAAGTTCATTCCAGCAACACGCCACCTGGACCCCGATCTCCAAAACCCCCCAAGTCTGCCCTAATTTCAGAGCGACTGAAGGGAAAAGCAAGGCTTCAGTGCCTTGCAGACAGCAAAGGTTTATGGTTGAGGGGCGGGTGGAGTGGGGTGGGGGTGTCCAGTGGTCCTGTGATATTAGATACGGCAGGGCAGGTGGAGTGGGGGGGGGGTGGACAGAGGGACACTCAGCAGGGAATAGGCCAGGATGAAAGAGAGGTTCAGACTGAAAGCCCACCCCCGTTGGCTGAACCGAGTTCACTCCTTTAGGGTGCTCCAGAAGAGCTCAGCCACTCTGCCCTGGCCGGAGGATATGTTGGATAGAACTGGGGTTGTCTGAGATGAGGGACCAGGTCCCTCTGTGAGTTAAAGTCAGGTAGAGTTAGGCTTGGGGTTGAATCAGACTGAGGTCTGGATCCGGAGTGAGCAGAATAGAAGGGTCCGAGCCATAGTACAGCGGGTGGGACATTTACCTTGTGGTGGTTGATCTGGGTTTGATCTCCAGCATCCCATATGGTCCCTCCAGGGCCCTCCAGGACTAATCCCTGAGCACTGATCCAGAAGGAAGCCCTGAACACCACTGGGTGTGTCCCCCAAACAAACAAATGAGTGAGGAGAGTAGAGGAAGTCTGCGAAGGTGCTCTGCCAGACTGGCTTTCCCTGTGCTTGTCCACCTCTTTGTGAGCCCATCTTCTGCCCGGCTGCCTGCTCTCCCGCACCATGCCCCCACCCCAAGTCTTAGAGCAGTGGACTTCTTCCACTTTCCTTCCCAGCTTCCAGTGTCCTTGGGGGATTTCAGTGGAGAGATGGTTCTGATTACAAAGTTCAGCAGTGAGGGTAATGCCCCCCCCTGTGTTCCTGGGGACATTCCCCAGAACCCACCTTGTGGCTGGGCAGTGGGGACTCAGAATGACTCCTCCCCTCCCAATTTGCACCCTGTACCCCCAACAGGAGGAGGAGATGAAAGTGCACAAAAGCCACCCCCAGGAGGGAGAGGTGGGGCTGTGGTTCCCCCAAAGCAAACACTTCCAGTTGCTGAAAGGAGGTGGGACCTCTTGGATGGAAGTACCACTAAGTGAGGGGTAGTTTCCTGGCTTTGTGCTGCTACTGCACCTCTCTCATGCCATGCTCATGCTTCAGAGACCGATGTGTGTTTCCAGGGTCCTGTCCATCTCTCTACCTCCGAGTCAGGGCTGGGTTTGGGGGGAATCAGGATAGATTCTTGGGGTTCTTCAAAAACAGTCTTCCCATGGCCAACTCTTGTCCAGCTTCCTACCGGATTAGGGAGCGGGGTGTGGAACAACAGCGTGACCAGGTCAGAGCTGACAGTCCTGAAAACTTCCCAAGGGGCCTGAGCGCCCCCAGCTCTCCATTTATAGGATGGTCCTAGTAGTTTCTGCAGGCACTTTACAAGCTGCCGGGGAGAGGCCGAAAGGGAGCCTACGTGCAGTCTTTCGAAGACGCATGTCCCCTCCCCACCTCCGTTCCCCCCTTCCCCCCAAGAACAGAGATGAACAAGGAAGGGGAAAGCGTGAATCGCGTCCCCTTGAATCTGTAGTACTGTAACTGTCCACCAGGTGGGGTTCCAGGGCAGAGAGTGAGCGCGGAGATGACCCAGCGCTCGAAGCGACGGACCAGTTCGTAAATCTCCGCCCGCCACCGCCGCCTCGGAGGCGCTCACACCCGCAGGCTTGGCCCCTCTGCCCGCACCTAGGACACGCACACGCGTTCTCTCCTCCAGGGAACACCGCTGGGCCCCGGGAGGCGCTAGAAGGGTGAAGTTTAGTTTCTTTTACACGCACCCCATCCTGCGCGGAGGGTGAGCCAGTCTGGGACTCTGGGAGTGAGAAAGGGAGCGACGGAGATACTGAGAAAGGGGGTTGGGTTCGGCCACCAGACGCGCGGCCGGGAGCGAGCCAGGCACCAGGTAGCAGCAGTGTCTGGGGCGGGCGCGCGGCGCTCGGAGGCTCGCAGGCACGCGGGAGGAGAGGCCAGGTGACAGACGGAGGCATGGAGCACGGGCAGACCAACAGCTCCGGAGAGCGCAGACAACTCCGCACACACATCACACAGCTCGCTCCACAGACGTCTGCAGGAGCGGGGCACCCCCGCGCGCGCGCGCACGCGCGCGCGCACACACACACACACACACACACACACACACACACTCACACACACACACCACAGGTGCGGCCCGGGGCCACACGCACCCCTTGGCGCAGGCACGCGCGCCGGGGCCCTCTGCGGCCGGCTCTGAGAAGGTGGCCGCGCTCGCCCGGCGTGTTTATTTACTCATTTGTATCAATGAACGTTTGTACCCGACTCCTCCCGCCTCCCGGTGCCGGGCCGCCGCATTTGTTCTCGGTGCGGGACGCTCCACTCTTCCTCGGGACCGGCATGGGGCTCCCTCCGACGTTGCGGGAGACAGACGGGGACTGCTAAGTTAGGGGGTCTCGAGCCCTCCAAGAGAAGGGGCTGCAGCGCCAGGAGCCCGGAACGCGGACTGGCAGAGGGGAACGTCGGGGTCGTGTAGGGTAAGAGACCTGTGGAGGAGGGTGGAGATCTTGGCATTCGAGGTTTGGGGATGTACGGGTGGGCAGCGGGGGTCCTGACTCGGAGCGGGTGGGGTGGTGAAAGGGAAGGGTGGGGTGGAGGGGTCCCAGGAGGTAGTGGATAGCGGGGGTCGGCGGAATAAGAGCTGGGGACTCTGAGCGCCCAACCAGGGGGCTTCTGGCGCCTCTCCATCGAGGGACAGAGCGGCGGAGTCCACACGACCGGCCGAGGGGGCGATGGCCTACACTTGGACCTCCGGGGACGCGAGGAGGGAACCGGGGATCCCCGGGTGGCGAGAGGTGGGGGGCGAGGGTAGGAAGGAGCAGCCACCGAACGGGCACCGTGCGAGTGCGCACCGTGTGTGTGTGTGCGTGAGCGATCGTGTGTGTGCGCGCGCGCGCGTGTCTGTGCGCGTGTGTCTCATCTCGTCCGTCTGTAGGTGCCTGGCTCAGCGAGACGCCGGCGAGAAGGAAGAGGAGGCGAGAGGTGAACTGAGTTTGATCCTGCGGCGGCTACAAGTGGGTCCCCGGCGGGCGGCGGGCGGGCGGCCGGGGCGGGGCGGGCGGCCGGGGCTCTCACACGCTCTCCGGCCGCCGGCCTCTCACCACGCCTCCCGCTTTGTACGCGCGCGGGGGGAGGGGGGCTGGCGGGGCGCCCACGGCGCAGCCTTCCCGCCTCTATATAAACACACGCATCGCCTGGCTTCGGACTCCAATTCACATTGAGAGAAGCTTTTAAAACCACCAGCCCTGAAATCCTGCCTTCTGCTTTTTCCCCCCTCTTGCAATCCCTTTTTTTTTATTTTTATTTTTGCCTTCCTTTCTCCCCCCAACCCCGCCACCTACCCCCCTTTCTTTCCCCCAGCAGCAACTCCAGAGCCGAGAGACCGCGTCCCGGGACGGACTGCCTTTTCTTTAATTGATACAATAGCCCAGCTCGGGTTTTCACCTCCTCCCCCATCCATCCCCACCCTGCCTCACCCCTCCCGCCGGCCCGCGGCTGCCGCCGCCCCAGCGCCCGCCCGGGGCTCTGTGGCCGGCTGCGCGCCGTCGTCCCGGCCGCGCTCCGCCCGCTGCTCACCCGCGCTCCGGCCGCCGCCGCGCGCGCCGCGCCTCTCCCGCAGCGCCCGCCTCGGGGGTGCAGCGGCGTCTGAGCGACTCGGGCTCACCGCCCCGGGCAGCCCAGGGACTCTGGGCTCCTGCCTCGCCGCTCGCCTTACGCCCGAGCGCCTTCTCCCTCGTCCCCAAAGTTTCTGGGTTTGTTGGAATTTGGGGATTCAGGTTTTTTTTTCCTCCCTTTTTTCACCTAGGAATTTGAGGGCGAAACTTGACAAATCGACCGCACTTTCTCCGCTAGCTCTCAGTCCACCCCCGTCTTTTTCTTTTTCTTTTTTTTTAAACCCCCGAGCAGAAGAAGGGGCTTACGAGGGGTGGGGGGCGAGGCTCCCGTTGGATAAAGTTTTCCAAAGTTTTCCGAGTGTGATGGTTGCGGAGAGGCTAATCCACCAGCTGATTCACGGCTTCATCCCATCACCCCACTGAGCAGCCCCTCAGCCCGCTATAAGGAAACAAACAAACAAACAAACAAACAAAGTTGCACTCCGAGTCAGGGGCGCCTCGTGTCTCCTCTCTCTTCTTTTAGGCAGCCCCCCTCCCTCTCTCCGCTCCCTCGCAGCCTCCCACTCCCCTTCCCTCATCCCCATCCTCCTTCTCTGTTTCGGCTGGAGGTGCCAGGACCCTCGGCCGCAGATCCCCTCCCCCGCCGCTCCCGTGCCTTCTTGTCCGGCCCTCCCTCCCCCGCCGCGGCCGGCACAGCCAATCCCCCGAGCGGCCGCCAACATGCTTTTTGAGGGCTTGGAGCTGGTGTCGGCGCTGGCCACCCTCGCCGCGTGCCTGGTGTCGGTGACGCTGCTGCTGGCCGTGTCGCAGCAGCTGTGGCAGCTGCGCTGGGCTGCCACCCGTGACAAGAGCTGCAAGCTGCCCATCCCCAAGGGCTCCATGGGCTTCCCGCTCATCGGAGAGACCGGCCACTGGCTGCTGCAGGTAAGGGTGCACTCCTAGGCGCTCAGTGCTCTCCCGGGCCAGCGAGCCGCGAGCGGCAGACCATCGGAGCCGCGGTCCGGCCGAGGGGCGCGGGGATCCTGAAGGCACAGGTCCCCGCCCCGCCCCTTCCCTCCTCCCGGGCTTACCCTGCCCGCCGGCGGCACGGTTCCGAGCCACCGGCGCCGGGCGCTCGAGGTTCTGGGGGCTGGTAAGACAGGACCCCGGACCCGAGAGGGTGCTCAAGATGGGCTTTTCCCAGTCTGGGGCGGTCCAGGAGGGTGCTTGGAGCGTTGGGGGGTAGGGGAGCGCTTCCCGCGCTGCGACGGAACAGCGGTCCTAGAGCCACTTTCGCCGCCCACTTTGCGCTCCAGCCCCCAAGTCGCCGTCTGCTAGCTGGGTTTTTGGAGGTATCCCCGGGGCCCCAAAACTGTCGGGGAGAAGTAGGGGCCAGGGGCAACGGTAATCTCCGTCCGCCTCCCCCCTCCCCACCCCTTTAAGCCACGGATTGTGTTCTGGCGGGTCCGAGTCTGCTCCAGGTACCACCCGGGTCCAAGGTCCGAGGGAAAGTGTGTGTGTTTGAATTAGGGGAGGCAAAAGGTTAACTCAAGGAAAATCGCAGCCTGAGACCAGAGGATTCTTGGCTTTCGGGGAAAAGGGTCTATTGACTTATTGGGTGGGGACAGGATAGCGAGGCAGAGAGACCCGGAGGGGAGTGTGTGTGTGTGTGTGTGTGTGTGTGTGTGTGTGTGTGTCTGTGTGTGTCTGTGTGTGTGCGCGCACGTGTGTGTGATCCACAAGGGAGTGCGTTTGTGTTGTTAAGATGCTGCACAAGCCCATGCGGTGAAGATGGGGGTGGCCGCGTCCTGGACTTAGACCCAGGTAGGTACTGGGGAGATTAACTTGAAATTCACCTCATCAAGTGCCAGACAATTGCTTTTTCAATTGATACACCCCAGGGTTTTCCTTGGTGGGGGGTGAGGGGTGCGTCCCTGGATTAGACGCGGGAGGTGTGCTGTGGGTACGTGTGTACGTGTGCACGAGTGTTCGTTGTGCGGATGCTGATGGCAGTTAAGAGGAGGATAGATGATGTCCTGAAACAGACACCCGGGGCCGGGGAGGTGACGTGGAGACCGGCGGGCGAGTTGAGAAGTGCAGAAGCTTGGCTTGGAATGAACCGACGCGTGCAATCAGCGCGCGCACCCGCCCCGCCCCGCGCCCCAAGTGTCAGCGGAGCTGGGGGCTCTGCGGTGGACATGCCGCTCCGCTGCCCCACGGGTCCTAGCGAGTCGGGGTCCAGCCCGGCTCTTTTGGGTTGGTTGGAGTGATCGAGTGATCGGGTGGGACTCACGTCAACCAATGGGACTCCCCCCCCGCGAAGAAATCCCCATAGTGTGTTTTACGCCGCCCCATTTCAAGGGTTAACTGCAGCGGTGGTCTAGGCGCTTGGCCGAGAATTTAGGAAATAAAATAAGTCGCAAGGGCATCGGGCTCCTGTCTTGTTAGAGCCACTCTGCGGAATTCGCGGCCTGACACCACTCCCCCTTCCTGACCTTTCTCTGCCCCCCCACAAATGTCCCCTTGACCTTTCCCTCCAAATCCCACAAGAGCCCTAAGGACTCTGAGTCCAACCCATAAGTTTGCGCCTCCCCTATCCGCGGGCCTCCGGGATTTACACTCCTGGGGGAGGGAAATCAAGGGGGTGCGTATGGAGGAGAGCTGAAGGGGTTAATGGGAGCCCTCTGAATCCCAGCTTTATTTTTTCGGAGTCATTTATCAGATTTTACGGGGGGACCTCCAAGGGCTCTCCGTTTCCACTGTGCGCCATCTAAACAGAGCCCAGGGCTAAAAATACAACATTTTTGTATAAATTGGACTCGCGGCCCGAGCGGCCGCCCCTATGAAAGTCCTCTTTGTGAAGACCGTGGAAACGGCGGACAAATAACTCTTTATTAATGCCACAAAAAAACGCACTTTAATTATAGTTAGGCAGATCAGAGGCGTAGGGGGGGACGGCAGGAGAGAGGCGGCGGCGACCTCGGAAAATTCACAGCCCAACTTTTGTGTCGAAAGAAAAGAAAAACAGAGGAAAAGAAGTAGCGGAGAGTCGGAGAGTCAGACGGAGCGAGGGAGACGGTTCGAGCAGACGGAGGGAGGGAACCCCGCTACTCAGCACCCCCTCCGCTTTGTCGCACCTCCACCCTCGCCTCTATTTCTCTTAAAGGGCTAGACGCCGTCTAGAAGGGCGGCGGGGTAGGGGGAGTCCTGGGGGGGGGGCTGCACCGGGCCGCGGGGCGGCGTCCCCCTCCGCCCAGCCCCCCTTCTGGAGCAGCGCGGGCGCTCCAGGTTCGCACCCTGTCGCGCGCCGCGGACAGAGGCGCATGTGGAAAAGTAATTAGGGCTCTGGGTTCTGCAGAGTCACTTTTCGGCGGTGCCGGGGTGTAGACACTTCGAGCCGGGGAATACTTTTCCATGGAAGAAAGGGAAGTGAGGAGGGGGAGCGAGCTGGATGGTCACCGTGGGGGTGGGGGGGGAGGGATGGGTGGGGGCGCGTTGCCTGGCCGGGTGGGACCCGAGCCCGCCGCGCCACCTCTGTAAGGCGGGCCCGACCCGCACCGCCTGACAGGTGGCGCCCCTCCCCTTCTCCCGCGCCGCCGCCCCGGCAGGCGAAGGGTTAATGTGGGTTGGGGTGGCGAGCGCCTACGTCAAAGGTGAGCGGGACGCCTCTGCCCCCGCCCCTCGGAGGTCCCCTCGGTTTCCGGTACCCGCGCGCGGGGCGGGCGCAGCCCCGCCACTCGGAGCGCCGGGCCCAGGCCCCGGCCTAGCCCGCTCCGGCTCCCGCCGCCGCCGCCGTCGCCAGGGATCCGGTTACCTGCCGGGGCGGCCCGGCCCGGCCCGGCCCGACCCGGCCCGCGGGAAGCGCCCTCCTCCGCGCCGCCGCTCCAAACTGCAGGGCGGCGACCAAAGTCCTTGTCAGTTATTTCTAGGACCGACGGCAGGAGGAAAATCGCGGCTGTCAGCCCGTGACCCTGCCCTGCAGAGCCCTGGCCGGGCCGCGGGGTTCCTTTGGCGGCCCACCCCCGAGATGGGAGGAAACCCCCACCCCCGGCTGCAGGGACTGCCTTCGGGCACCGACCGCTCACCGCTATAAATAATCTTTGGCTCGCGGCCACCCCGCGGGGTCTCGCCAGCCCGTGGCCCGGAGCCTGGAAATATTTATTCCGAGAGGCTCGGGAGCTCGAGGCGAGTGGGAGGCGGGGAGGGGGTGGGGGCGGGTCTAGCTTCAGGTCCCGCCGTCCGGGATACCTTTCCCTCCCGAAAGTCATTACTACAAAACAGTCTCCCGCAGGGTGCCCCTGGGCCTCCGCCTCCCTTGCATTATTTATTATCCCCTAGGCCCTACTTCCCCGCGCTCGTGCATGCTATGAAAAATAAAACCTACGTGCGTGTGTGTGTGTGCGCGTGCGTGCGTGTGTGAGCGCGCGGGGGGTGGGGTGGGGGAGGGGCGTGGGCCTACGCCCCGGGTCCTGCACCCCTCGCCCCCGCAGCCCTCCTCCTCGCCCCTCTACCCCCATCTGGAGACGTGCGCCCTGAGATTGGTCTCCGGTGTGGCTCCCGCAGGGCTCTGGCTTCCAGTCCTCGCGGAGGGAGAAGTATGGCAACGTGTTCAAGACGCACTTGCTGGGGCGGCCCCTGATCCGCGTGACGGGAGCGGAGAACGTGCGCAAGATCCTCATGGGGGAGCACCACCTCGTGAGCACCGAGTGGCCGCGCAGCACGCGCATGCTGTTGGGCCCTAACACGGTGGCCAACTCCATCGGCGACATCCACCGCAACAAGCGCAAGGTAAGAGCCCCGCCACCAGGCTCCGAGACTGTTCTCCCGCGGCCTCCCAAGGGGGAAGGAGTTCTCCGTGCCCCTGGAGGAGTCCCCACTCGACTTCCCGTCTCTCTTTGCACACCACATTGGGGGAATCCCGCGGGTTTCCGCAGTGGCCAATCCGGATGGCCTGCGTAGGCCTCCTGGGACTCGGCCCTCTCAGCGGGCCCACTGCGCCACCCTAGCACTCCCCTCCCCACCCCCCACCCCCCGCCGGTGCAGTGGGCGACTGGGGCAGGGCTTGAACAAATGTGGGGGATCTGGGGCGTCCAATGTCGGTCCACGTGAACCCCACAAAACTGGAAATAAAAAGAGGGTAGACAGTGTGTGCGGCGCACCCCTCTTTCCTTCAGGATCGCTCTCGAATCAAACGGAGCCTTCTGACCAAAGGCTGCGTGGAAATCCTCGCGGGAAGGCGCGGGGGTGCGGGTCTGGGGGCACCTGGCGAGAGGCGGTGGCAGGCAAGGCCTGGGAGAGAGGAGGTGAAATTTGGGCCGCTGCGCTCCCGGGTCTGGAGGGTGGGGAGTGGGGGGAAGGGCGCGGGGTGGGGAGAACAGATGAGGCTCAGGCCGCAGATCAACCTTCCCCGCTCCCCCCGCCACCCCCTCCCCAATAAAGAGGAAAAGAAAGTGGGTGTTTATCCTGTGGATTTCCCGAGCGCCTGGAAAAGGCGCGGAGGAAGCGAGCCAGTGCGCACGGAGCGAGCTCCCCACCCCCTCTCGGGGCTGCGCCGCGCCGCCGCCGCTGCTCCGGGCGCGGGCGGCACGTGCAGTTTGAACTGCAGTAACCCGAAAGCTGAGCCGCCGGCGGGCGGGGCGCCGGCTGCGGGCTTCGAGCGGCCAGACGGGGGTTGGGGATGGGGTGGGGTGGGGGCTCCACGACCTCCCTTCCCTGTCTTTTTTTTTTTTTCCATTGGGTCATGGGACTCACCCAGTTTGGAAACCCCGAAGGAAGAGGCGGTCTGAGTGCTGGAGCCCCAGGAGTGGGGAGGGGGGGCCCCTTGGCGAGACAGGCCCCTCGCCCAGAAGGCTTGTGTGTGTGAGGTGGGCTTGGAGAGCGCGGGCTATTCATCGCGAGGTACTTGAGGCCTTCGAACAGGAATTCTCCATAGAGACAAAAGGAGGGAAGATCAAGGGACAGCTCAGGTCTGCAGTGCCTCGCCTCCTCCATTTAAGCAGATTGCTTGAGAACTTTGGAAAGGGGTTCCCCAAGTCATCTCTCCAGCGCTAGAAGCAGCTGACACTGGGGGCAGGAGAAGTGGGGAGAGCAGATGGAAGGGGGTTCTGGGGAGCACTGCTGGTGGGGATGCTGGCCTGGGCTTGGGGGCTTTTCAAAAGCCTTGGGCACTTCCTTCTTTTCTTCCTCTTTGTGACTCTCCACAAAGTGAGGAGAAAGCTGGAGACCGCTGAAGGCAGAAAGGGGGCTGCTTCTGCATTTGATGGCCACAAAAGCTTTGTGCAAAGAGCAGTCACTGTTTTCTTTCAGGGGACTCCGAGGCTTGGAGTGGTGGAGAGGTTTGGTGCTAGCCTGAAAGCAAAGAAAGGGCCAGGCAGGACAAGAGGAGGCAGCCCAGGGAAAGAGCTGTTTCCATGCTGCAAGGAAACTGCAAGGAAATTGGAAGAACACAGAAGGGAGGAATGCAGGGAGGAAGAAGAGGGCTTGGCCTCTCCACAGAGGTATTGCCTGACTCACCTTGTGTGTCCAGGTGGGGGGATTGGGGGAGGTCCTGGAAAGGCCACTACAGAGGGACTTGAACAGGAGAGAATTGCTGCTCCCGGACCTGTTCAGAAAAGAGAGGCGAGGTGGGACCAGGATGGAGGCAGGACCCAAGGACCACGAATGGACATTGCTGGCCTCTCTTTAGAACATTCTTGCCTTCTAGCTCCTTGGAAGGGGACAAAGAAGTGGACGGAATCAGTGATCTGATTCTTGGCTATCCGACCTTTTGCCTAACAGAGATTTGGGCACCTACTGGGGGTCCTGCTACTTGTTTGCTTACTGCGTGCAAGACACTGTCCCCTCCTCAGCTCAACACATCCATGCAGGCATGCACCACGCATGGCTCACATTCGGATGTGGTTTCAGTAACACACATTGCAGTGCTGGGGTCAGCATGGATGTTCCATAAACTTGGGTTTTTCTGAACTCTGAAGGCCTTGAGATGGGTGCAGAGGTTGAAGAGGGAACACATGGGTCTTACTTCAAGAAGTAAGTCTAGCTAGAGGGAGGAGGAAAGATGACTCAGGGGCCGGAGTCGGGATTGGTGAGAATGGCCAGTGTGCAGGACCCAGTGCTCAGTACAGGGTCGGGGAGACACTGGGGGAGGGTCATCCCAGCCAGCTAGCCACTCACTGTCTGACCACACCACTGCATGGGGATGTGGCTGGAGAGTGGACCGCAGGGGTAGGGGTAGGGGCAGCCTGGCCTGTTGAGGAAGGGAAGGACCAAGGGTGCTGGGGAGCTGGGAGCATCATCACTCTTCCCAGATGTCCAGATGTCCTCAGCCATCGGGCTCTGCAGAGTTCTTCGCAGCTGCCCATGTGGTCCAGAGCCCGGAGGGGTAGAAGCGCCTGGTCCGACGGTCCTCGCTAAGAGCCAGGCCTGTTTCCCAGAGAGCCACAAATGCAGACACTGTTCCGCCTTCTTGCTATCCCCTTTCTTCCTTGGACCCCCGGTTCCTTGATTGAAGTTGGTGAGGAGGGGGGCATCCCCATGGCATCAAGTGTATGGGGGAGATGGAGGCATTCCTCTAGAAGGGCGGATGAGATACAGGAGGAAAGGTTGGGGGTGGTTTGCCAGAGGCACAGAGGAGAAAGGTCTAAAGCCCAGCCTGACTCATCCCACCTCTTGGTGGACCCTTGAGCCTGGGCACAGCCTCTGGCAGCAGAGTCCTGCCCACTGTGCTCCACCAGGGGCAAAAGCTCTTTAGTGCATTGGGTGGGAAGGTGGAGAACTGCAGCCAGGTGCAGCCAGGCCCGGGCGCTGGGTGTTTGCCAGCAGAAGGCCTTCATCCAACAGCTACTGTAGCACCCGCTGGTGGGCACAGAGGGGCTGAGGGGGTGGGGGAAACGGATCTCTCTGAAGGTCAGCGGGGGAGGAGTCCACGGCCAGCTGCCAGGGCGCTTGTGAGTGGCCGCCTCCCTCTGCACGCCCTTGTGCCAGGGAGTTGGGGGAGCTGAGCTGGGGGAGGGGGCCGCCTCCCCCCTCGCCCCTTCTCTCTGTGTGTCCTTCCAGGCTGGGACAGCTCCACGCCTCTAAGGCTGATGTGTTTGCACGTGCTCTCAGCCTTGGGACAGAGTCGTGCCCTTGGGGGAGGTGTAGGGAAGCTTCGATGGGTTTTGTGCCAGCCCTGAGTCCACTCTGCTCATTGTTGTGTCGTCCAGTGGTGGCTCCCACGGCTGAAGGGCCAGGGGTAGGGGGTGCACCTGCAGGGACCCAGACAGCCTCTGAGTAGACCAGAGGTGCCCAAACATCAGGGTTGACCTTTAGATTTGTCTTACACCCCCGGAGGCAGGCCCCCTTCTCAGGTTCTCCAGTAACTCCAGGACCCTCACCCCCCAATGCCCCCCCCCCCCCCCCCCCCGTCTACTACCCCAGGGCTCCAGTGCAGAGTGTATTGTGGGAGGTGGAGTGAGATGGGGGGTGGGAGGGAAAAGCTCAGGGGTCAGTCTCTCCTGGAGCATGACTTTGGGGTGAAGGGGGCACTTCCTCTGGGCCTCGCTTTCTAAAGGGCATTGGTCTGGTGGGAAGCAGAGCCTGGGCAAAGCCTTTCAGATTCAGCCTCAGAAATCCTTGCTGGCCCCCCTCACCCCGGGCCAGTGCTGAGCTTGCAGCAGTCCAGTCCGGGGAAGGGAAGAACAAAACTGGAGTCCATGGGGGTGGGGCAGGTGCTGTGTTCCCAGAGTCTGGGAATTCCAAGCCACAGTGGGGAGAGGGGGGATGGGGGGCTTGCTGGGTCAGCTCCTCCCACCAGAGACAGGAGGCCCTGAGCAGTAGCAGCTCAACCTAGAGAGTTGGGACCCACACCCACACCTTGGCGTCAGCCCTGGGCGGACGATTCCCCCTCTTCCCCACGGCCACCCTCTGTTATTCTTTCCTCTGCGTTCTGTGGCTCCCGTGGTCTGGCAGGGAGGCCTGCCCACGCCCCTCTCTCGTGGGCAGCTGCGTCCATTCCTCCCCAGCTGAGTCACTGGCTGGAGAGTGGGTTCCTTCTGCAGCTCTTCCTGCACCCAGAATATCTGCCCGTTTATCTGTCCCTCTACCTGTAGCCGCTGGAGGAGGAAGAGGAGGAAGAGGAAGAGGAGGAGGAGGAGGAGGAGGTGGAAGTGGAGGAGGAGAAGGTGGAAGTGGAGGAGGAGGAGAAGGAGGAGGAGGAGGAGGAGAAGGAGACGAAGGTTATCTGTGGAGCGGGTCAGCACACAGAGCTTGAGAGTGGGGGTATCTGCTGCTCCCCTCCTGGGGGCACTGGGTGAGGGGCAGGAGGCAGCAGGTGTAGGAACAGTTATCGGAGATTCTGAGCCTGGAAGGCTGCAGAAGGAGCAATTCAGCTGGCCTGTTCCCCTTGGATCCTGGGAGTGGAAGAACAGAGTGAGCCAGTGAGGGATGGGGACTGGGCAGAGCACTGCTTGCAAAGGGGTGGGGTGGGGAAAGGGTTTCTGAGCAATCCTCCAGGGTGGGCTCCCCTCCTCTCTGCCAGGAGTTACCTTACCGGGGCTCTGCTCTCTATGCCTGCCGGGAATTACCAGGGCTCCCCAGGAGCCTCTGCCCTGACGCTTCCTGGCATCCAGGCGGGGTGAACGCAGCTTCTGGGTTCCCAATCACCTCTGTCCTGAATTCTTGGATCACTTTTGGAAATTCCAAGGGAAGCCCCACAGGGAAACAAAGCAGCCTGGCTCCTCTTACAGCTGTGGTCAGGGCAGTTGGCTCTGGGGGCCGGGAGCCCTTCCCCACTTCACACTGAGCCGCTCCCCGGGGCACCTTCCCTGTGCCCAAGTTCTGACCCCGCCCATCCTGGCCAGCACCTCCGCCTCCTCCTGGCCTTTGTGGTAGGTGGTTTTTTTTTTTTTCTGGGCTGCCCCAGCTTCAGGAAGTGCCTGTGTTGGTAACCCTGGGCACAGACCCAGGGATGAGGCCCTGGAGTTTTCCCGGCGCCTGGGGGCCCCTCGATGCCAGGGGAGCAGCTGGGCTTAAGGCAGGGGCCTGAACGGGGATGACCTCTGAGCAAATAAATTCCCCAGGGCCCAGAGTACAAGGGTGCTGCCTCTGCAGCTCTGCTGGGCCTTTCCTCTCCTGAGGGATGCTCTGAGGAGGACTGTGCCTCCGCCAGAGAAAAGGACCCCTCCACATTCCAGTGGACTCCTGCCGTTCAGGACAAGAGCTCTGATCTTGGCTGCAAAGTTTCTTTTCACAAGTTTCAACCTGGGCTCTTGCAGGTCCTGGGTTGTGGCGGGCCTCTGGTATCACTCAGTGCCTGCCTTTCTCCATGGAGGCGTCTCCGTGCTCCATCCCAGCACCCCAGTCCTCCTCGCCCTTCTTGGCCCCACAAGGCGGCAGACAGAGCAATTCAGCTGGCCATCGCTAGAGGGCGCAGAGAATGTAACCTTCGGGGCAGGGCAGGGCCTGGCTGCTGGTGCTGGGTCTGATCAGGCCAGCGGCTTCCCCCTTGCCACCCTTCAGGGCCTCTGTAACCCATGTATGGGGTAGAGTGCCGGCTGGCTGGCTGGCAGACACTTCACATGCGACTCCTGTTTCTCCCAGGGCAGGGCATCCACTTAGGTACCTATGGACAATGGCGTTCTGGTGCTCTGCCCCTGAAATGAACCCCACGGGTCACCCAGCACGAGTGGGGATGACTTGGCCACGATCATATTTGGGTTGTGGATGCCCTGGAGTTAGAACCCTGAGTGTTCCCCCATCCACACCCCACCCCTCACGGCATTTTACACTCTGGCTGGCTCTGGCTGGATCGGGGGCTGGGGGGTGGCTAGCCTCTTCTCTAGGATTCCCCCCTCCCCCAGATGTCCACCTTCTCAGTTAGGTCTCCAGAACGCCCGCTATGAAAGCCCCCTCCAGCCTGGGCTGGCCTGTGCCTGCCACCCCCACCTCAGTCTTCTCGCGGGGGCCAGGCGGCGGCAGGTTTGTCTCTCTGCCTCCCCATCGGTCCGCTCGGCCCCCCACACATGGCTTCCTGATCACCTCTGGCACACTCTGCTGTTTTCTAAGGGCCCTTTGGTTGGCTGGGCTGGGCTCTGGGGACAAAGCTCTACTCCCTGCCGTTGACTGACCAACAGCTGAACCTGGAGCCAGGACGAGGAGGGAAACCCTCTGAAACCTCCCTCCAGAGGGCGGTGTGGTGGGTCCCTGCCCCTTCCCAGCCCCCGCCCCCCGCCCCCCCCCCCCCACACACACCTCCTGGGCTCCCTGCAGCTGTACAAGGTGTGAATGAGCCCTCCAGGCTGGGCCGCCATTGACTGTCTCCCCTCATCCTTGTACCTTTCTGCTGTCCCCTGGATGCAGGAGCAGCTCCAAACAGTGTTGGCTTCTCGGCCCCTCACCGGCCTCCTTACCTCCCTCCCTCTCTGCCCACCGGGAATTTCAGAATGAAAGTGCTATTGTGAAGGCCTGGCTGGGCCACTGAAGGGCCAGCACTGTTATTTCTGCAAACCAGCCCTCCCATTAGCCATGCAGGGCTTAGGCCAGGAAAATGTTACCTTTTCCTCCTCGAGCTGACTGCAGGGGAAATTCTCACATTTACAGTTTGTGCGGGTGCTTGTGTTTGGGGGGCGGTGGGGAGGGAGGGTGTGGGTGTGGGACTTGCGGTGGTGGAGGGGGGCATCATGAGGACCATTTGTCTCTTCCCTCTGCTCTGCCGGTCCCCCTCTCCTCCCTGACCTGTCTGTCCCTTGACTGGTAAGGGCACCTCTCCTGCTGCTCTGGATTATTGGGGGGGGGGGGGCGGGGGTGAGAGTTGCTAGTTCTAAGGGAGACCATCAGCAAATAATCGGATGCCCACCCCTCTTGAGCACAAGTGGGCAGCAACCCATGTGTGGCGAGGTGTGGGGAGGTGGAGGAGGGGAGCACGGGCTGGGGGTGGGGGGCCCGGGGGAGATAGAGGGGCTAAAAAGTGGGAAGCCGAGGAGGCAGTCTGGGTGGCTGCTCACCACGGAAGGGAGGACGGATGCTGTTTTGCCTTTGTGATCTTTGGGAGTGAAACGCCTGCCCCAGCCCTGCCACACCGGAGCCCCGTGGGTGGCACAGCTCTAAGCATGTGCCCTAGGATTTCCCAGCGTGGGGAGAGCACCTAGGAGGCATCTCAGAAAGTCCTGCCTGCAGCCGTTGATCAGTGCCATGGATGAGCCCCCCTCCTGCTTCCTGCCACTACCCCCTGTCCAGACTCTTCTGCAGCTTCCTCCAGGCAACTCCCTGGCCAGGCCCCTGAGAATCTCTGGGATGCACCCCCTCCCCTACCATAGAGCCTCTCCAGCCCCACCCAGCCCCCCTCTCCCGGGGGCTCCCCACCCCAACGGCTGGGAAGCCCCCCAGTGCCTCCCACACACCCGCTGGCAGCTGGTCTGCGGAGTCCCAGGAGGGGGTTGCCGCTGTTTGGAGCGCGTGCTTTTCCGTGGGTCAGGAGAGGAGCTGACAGCTCGGGCGCCCCATGAGTGATGAGGAAGGTCCGGGCGGAACCGGGAGTGCTTCCGAAGCGTGCCTTCGCGCTCGCATGCCCCTGCGCCACAGCCATGGGGTGGCCGGGCTGCGGAGGAGGAGGAGGAGGAGGAGGAGGAGGAGGAGGAGGAGGAAAAGGAGGAGGAGGGGGGTGGCTGCCGTGGAGGGAGCCCTGTCTGGGAGAAGACACAGACTCACCCCCACAGCCAGGGAGGATCTTCCCCAGGCCAGCCACCGTCTGCCCCTGTGCATGCGTGCGCGGCAGCTCCCAAGCCCCCTGACGATTTGTCCTCCCTCCTCTGGCCTCCAGGTTTTCTCCAAGATCTTCAGCCATGAGGCCCTGGAGAGTTACCTGCCCAAGATCCAGCTGGTGATCCAGGACACACTGCGTGCCTGGGGCAGCCACCCTGAGCCCATCAACGTGTACCAGGAAGCTCAGAAACTCACCTTCCGCATGGCCATCCGTGTGCTGCTGGGCTTCAGCATCCCCGAGGAAGACCTGGGCCACCTCTTCGAGGTCTATCAGCAGTTCGTGGAGAACGTCTTCTCCCTGCCTGTGGACCTGCCCTTCAGTGGCTACCGTCGGGTGAGCCCCTGGGACCCCGGTGCACCCCAGAGCCCACTCTTGGGCCAGGTGGCAGGGGTGGGGGGTGGGGAGGGCAGGGCGGAGGGGAGGCTGAGCCTATCCCTGGCTGCACAGCCGGAAGCCTTTTCAAGGCCAGTTCGAGGAGCCTGTCCTGGTCCCGAGGTGACCGTTCTCCCCTTTTCTCTGCAGGGGATCCAGGCCCGGCAGATCCTGCAGAAGGGCCTGGAGAAGGCGATCCGTGAGAAGCTGCAGTGCTCCCAGGGCAAGGACTACTCGGACGCCCTGGACATCCTCATCGAGAGCAGCAAGGAGCATGGGAAGGAGATGACCATGCAGGAGCTCAAGGTGAGGCCAGCCCCTCATTGCCCAGAGCCCTGCTGCCCACCTGCAGGGAGGACAAGAAGCACAACCCCCCCCCCCCCGCCCCCGTCCAGGGTTGGGGCTGCCCCGCCACTGCCCACACACATGGACACACCAAGTGCCTGTGGTACCTGTGGACCACCCTGCTGAGCCCCTATCACTATTTTAGTGCCTTTCACGGTCTCACTAGCCCCACGGTGACCTCAGCAAACACAGGTCCTGGAGATGAGGCGCTTTGCTCAGGGCTGGTCAGCCCTTGGGGAAGTGTAGGGAGCCTGGGACTGACTTCCAGCCTCCCCCTCCCCCATCCCCCCATCCCACCTGCCTTATCTAATAGGTGGCACTTGACACTGTCTGAGGGTCAAGTAAGCCCCTGGGCTGCTGCCTGGGACATGCACAAGGAGCCCAGTGGCAGCCTTCTGCCTGCCCTGCTGGTGGACGGAGGAAGGGGCCCAGTGGGAGCCCCAGACTCCAGCCGCAGCCTCCCCGCCCCACTCTCTCCGCTCTCTGGATTCCACCTCTGGCTCTTTCCCCTGCTTAGCCATGACGGAGCCCAAATGACTCTCTCAGTCACCTCCATGGCAAGTAAGGGGCCCTTGGTCCCCACAGACTCTCTGCACCCAGTATAGAGTGGAGGAGAGAGGTGACATGCAGGGGCTTTTCCGTAGGTGCTCTTGGCCCTGGTATCTGGCTCCCAGAGGACTAGGGGTCCTCGTGAGTGTGGCCCATGTGTGTCCCACGATCACCCAATCCTCTGGCCCCACCACGTACCAGAGGTGCTGGAGGAAGCAGCTGGTGCTGTGAGCTGCAAGGCAGGGACTTAGCCCCCGCCTCACTCCACAGTGCCCGCTGGCTTGAGGTGCGTGTTCAGCCGTGATCATGGCGGAGACTAGGCCAGGCCAGCTGGAATGACATGCACAGTGGAGCATGGTGTGACTTACTCCGAGAGTTTCCACGCGGCCTTGGGTTGTCTCTTGCTCGGGGACCTGTGTCTACTATGTCCTCAGTGTCCCAGCAACATGAGGCTCAGAGGGAGAAGGCAGGGCCCAAGAAGATGCCCCTGGGGGCAGGAGGAACCCGGCAGAGTGGGGCTGCCACCCCCCCTCCCCCACTCCCCTGCCTCCCTCCGCCTGGGCCCAGCTGGATTCTGGACTGAGCCATGCCCCTCCCCCTCCATGCCGCTGCAGGATGGCACCCTGGAGCTGATCTTCGCTGCCTATGCCACCACGGCCAGCGCCAGCACCTCGCTCATCATGCAGCTACTGAAGCACCCGGCCGTGCTGGAGAAGCTGCGGGAGGAGCTGCGGGCCCAGGGCATCCTGCGCAGCGGCGGCTGCCCTTGTGAGGGCACACTGCGCCTGGACACGCTCAGCGGCCTGCACTACCTGGACTGTGTCATCAAGGAAGTGATGCGGCTCTTCACGCCCATCTCTGGGGGCTACCGCACTGTGCTGCAGACCTTCGAGCTGGATGTGAGGCGGGGTCCTGGGGTCTGGAACTGCGCGGGTGTGGGGGCGGGGAGACACTGCCGCAGGTGTGGGAGGTCTTTCAGTCGGGCTGAGGGGCAGGGGCAGTGTTTGTTTGCTTCCAGGGAGTTTTCTGCCAGGCGGGGGTAGGGGACCTGGTGGAGGGGTCCGTCTGGGAAGCAGCATTGCAGACACCAGTGGACTGTGGCCTAACCTGAGGAGTGGGGCTGACGAGGTCCAGGGAGCCTCAAGGATGTTGCTTTGGGAACATCTGGGTGGGGGGCTGGCACACAGAAAGTCTTGGGTTCTCCCCCATCCCCAGACCTCATCTGCCCGGCTCACCATCCCTGTCCTCATCTCACGCTTGTCTCCAGGGTTTCCAGATCCCCAAAGGCTGGAGCGTCATGTACAGCATCCGGGACACCCATGACACTGCGCCCGTCTTCAAAGATGTGAACGTGTTTGACCCCGACCGCTTCGGACAGGCTCGCAGCGAAGACAAGGACGGCCGTTTCCACTACCTGCCGTTCGGTGGCGGCGTCCGGACCTGCCTGGGCAAGCACCTGGCCAAGCTCTTCCTGAAGGTGCTGGCGGTGGAGCTGGCCAGCACCAGCCGCTTCGAGCTGGCCACGCGGACCTTCCCCCGCATCACCCTGGTCCCCGTCCTGCACCCCGTGGGTGGCCTCAGCGTCAAGTTCTTTGGCCTGGACTCCAACCAGAACAAGATCTTGCCAGAGACGGAGGCCATGCTGAGTGCCACTGTCTAAATGCCCAGCCAGGCTGGGGGGTGGGAGTGGATGGAAGGGCAGAAACCTGTGTGTGGGAGGGGGTTGGAGCAGGGAAAGGGGGAACAGCCCCTCCCCCACTCGACCCTCCCATTTTCCCCCCCTCCCTGATGAACCCTACCCAAAGCCAAAAGGGCCGCTTCCTCCCAAGAGATGGGGGCCCAACTCCTGGCCCCCTGCTTCTCTCCAGTCTCTTCTTGCTCCCTTACCCCCTCCCCCCAACTTAGCCCCTGGGACTGGGCCTGGCCAGGGGCTCTGCATGCCAATTTCAGTGTTACATGTCCGCGGCCCGTCCCATGCTGCAGCCTTTGCTTGTGATGTTCCAGACTGGTCCCCCCGTGCTCATTCCTCTTGGATCCTGCTAGTTTGAGGTCACATGGTCGACATGGGGGTAGGAGGAAAAAAGATGCCCCTTTTGGTGTTCTTTTCAGCACCCCTGCCCCCTGCCTCCACTCAGATGGTGGCGGGCACCCCCTCCTTGGGTGCTTCAGCCGAGAGGGGCCCATCCTTTGCCAGTTTGAACCTTTGAAATGATCTGTTGCTGCTACTTTTTCTCTCCTCTGATGGGAGCCCCAGGCCCCATCTTCCCAGCATCCTCCCAGTGGCCCTGGGCATGCGCACTGACACCCCCACTGCCAGCCAGGTGGCCTTGAGCCCACCCTGTTACATACGCAAGGCCCTGGCTCATAGGCTGCCCCCTGCACCCCTCTCCCATATTTATTCACTGATAAAACCCAACCTTGGCATTGCTATGGACTGCAGCAAGCGTCTGTGCCCCCACCCATCATTGCCCGGGTGGAGGGAATTCCACCAGCGCCTCTGTTTCCTGATCTAGAGTTGAGCAGCTCCCCCAGGCTCCGGACCTTCTGTGGGTTCAACCGTGGAGCTTCGCCTCCCTGCCCTCCCCTCCCACCCCAACACCTCTGCCACCCTTGGTGGGGATGGGGACAGGACACGGTCCTTTGCCTTCCTCCCTGCTCGTTCACAAAGGTGCCACAAAGGTAAGGAAGCTACCACAGTCTCCTGCCTGGCCACAGTTCAGCCCAGGGTGCTCCCCAGTGCAGGAAAGGAAGCAGGGGGCAGGATACGGGTTCTTCCTTCTCACGAGCCTCTGTCAGGCCTTCCTTAACCCTCATGTTTTGTCCTTAGCCCTTGGAAAGGCATCTTTGGGGTCTCTTCTCACCTCTCTGCCACTGTGTAGCCCAGCTCAGGGGTGTGGGAACAAGATGAAAGCAAGGGGAGGTGAGCGCAGGAGGCGACTCCCCTCAAGCTTCCTCAGGGCCTCAGGTCTGAGGCTGCTGTGGGGAGGCTGTGGGAGAACTGAGGAGGAGGAGGAGGAGGAGGAGGAGGATGAGGAGGACGGGGAGGAGGAGAAGGAGGAGGAGGAGGAGGAGGAGGAGGAAAGAATGTGTGGATTTGTCAGAAGAGATTTGGTGTGTGTGTGGGGGGGGTGTCTGGGGGGCAGAGAAGGAACTCCTGCCACTAGCATTTTGAGTCAACAATTAGGGGTATCTTCTGGGGGTGGTTTGGAGGCCCTTGGTGAGTCTCTCCGCCATTTTGTCTGTTGCTGGGTTTTTCCTCTGCTTTCTGTTTCTCTTTTGGGTTTTGGTGATATGGAAATGGCTCCCTGGAATAGGGATGGTAGTTCAGCAGTCAAGTTTGACCCTCGAAAAGGCGAGGCTCTGGGCTTGGTCCCTGGCAGCACAGAACACAGACACTTGATGAACTCTCTTTGCCAGAGAATCAGATAGAGTGTAGGACGCCCACCCATGACGGCCTCACCACTCAGTGTCCCCTGTGAGCAGGAGGCTGGCTGGACCCCACTCTTGCTCCCATGCACAACCACCTTCGCGGGTGTGGTGCGGATATGACAGATCAATCTAGACTCCCCCATTCAAAGTTTCATGTGGTCCCTACATTTTTCACTGTTAGAACGCAGTGCAGGACAGACATTACTGGCAAAAGTGGACCTTTAAAAACAAAAATGTAGTGAGATCTCTCCCTCTCTCTTCTTTGCCCTCCCTCCTGAGACACAGGCAAAGCTGTATGAAGATTCATCAAAGGTCACAGAGACCCCAGAATTTAAGGGTCCAGAGTTTGGAGGGGTCCTTCTTCTTCAAGCTGACCCTACACCAGTGATTTCACCATTTTAGATGCTGCAGGAAGTGCCCCTTCAGATGGGAAGCACCACAACCCAGCCAGGCCTGGCTCTGGTTAGCAGTGACCCCAAGGGCTTTGGAAAGCATCTAGAGACCTTCCTTTGGGGTGACCAGCCTGGGAGGGGACAGAGAAGGCTAAAATGGGGGGGGGGGGGCTAGGGAGAGTGTGGGGTGTTTGTCCCTGCAAAGGAGGAAGGAAGTATCATTTGCCTTGCTGGGTCTCAAAGGCAAGAAGAAGAGCTCTTGATGGCTGACAAGGGTTCCAATGGGGAAACGGGCTGTGTCTCTTAGTCTCGGTCCTTCTGTGTGCCCGTGTCTGTATGTAGGTTTTATAGAAATAGTTTTAGCTGGGTGACACTTTCTCACATATCATTCCTAACTATTGTCACTTGACATTAAAAAAACAAACAAAACCAACCCCTACCCTCTTCCCTGCAAAACTCTTCCTGCCATGGGCTTGCAGATTGAAGCACTTTCGATGTTGGGCGCTGGTGATTGTGTTCCGGGCGCCATCCTGACCCTGCCCGGATCGCTCTAATATTATTTTATACACAAACTTTTTTTTTCAATAAATGTTATAATTTTGTGTGTCTGTCTTTATAAACTATTATAAGTACTATTTTTGTTATAATTCAAAATAGATATTTAGTATAAAGTTTTTGCTGTTAAATATTTGTTATTTAGTAAAATATGAATTTTTCTCTATTGTAAACATGGTTCAAAATATTAATATGTTTTTATCACAGTTGTTTTAATATTGAGAAAGCACTTATGTGTTTGGTTTTGATATGAAAACTGGTGCCGTGTGAGTGTTTTTGCTGTCATGTGGTTTTAATCTGTATATAATATTCCATGTTGCATATTAAAAAATGAATGTTGTGCATTTCGTGATTATGGAAATACTCGATGTGGCTCTTTTATAGACTTCCATAATAAACAGTGGGGACTCACCTCCTGTGGCTCATCTCTGCCTTCCCACCGCTCCGAAAGTCCCAGTTGGCTTCCCTGGCCTTCAGTAATTGCTCACTTCTCCGTCACTTCTGTGGAGAAGTCTGTCCTGAAACATCTGCTTGCCCTTCCTTGGGCTGGTGCCCCTGGGAGCCAGCTCCACTGGAACCTGGGGGTTGATGTACTTCGATGATGGCCACTGACTGGGGGTTGATGTACCTCGATGATGGCCACCACCTTGGGTCATGAGGCAGCTGGAAACCAGCTCCCCATGGCTGTGTGGCTGTGAGTGGCTGGGCATGGTCACCCAGAGCTCCAAGGGCCCGTCCTCAAAGTGCATTTTTTCTCGTGTCCAGGATGCTTACGAGAACCTGTCTTCCTGAATGCACCTCAAGCCGCTTGGAGTGCTTCTCAAAGCTGGTTAGTTTCTTGGGTGCCACAGGAACAAACCGATTCCTTCATTAATGTCATGTGGGTGAGGCAGGTTCCATGGTGACAGGAACGAGGCAAAGTCCTGCTTGGTGCCTGCAGATGTTGCTCAGGGAGCAGATTCTCTGAACTCCTGAGGCCTAAAGTCCTACTGTCTTAGCTGACCCTGGGACAAGCAGTTCTAAAGTCTGACAACATCTTGAGGCTGGAAGGGAGGCGGCAAAGAGCATGAACACCAGTGTTGGGAAAAGTCAGGCCAGTTCCTAGGATGGAAGGGCTGAGGCCACGAGGTGGAGAGAGGGCAATGAGAGCCCCCCAAACTGTGCTCAAAACCCGGGGTGGGGTGGGCAGCCAAGAAGACAAGGGAAAGAATCCTTCCGGCCCTTTCTCCCCTCTGCCTAGGGAGGGGAAACCCTGGGGATCTGCCCAGGGAAAGGTCCTGTGGTGGCTGCCATGTTTCTACCGCAGTCGGTGAACCCCAATCCCGGCTCGGCCACTGGCTCAGATCCTCCCCAGAACACCGAGCTGCTTCCCACCGTCCGCTCAGCCTGACCACCCAGAAGAGGGTCACCAGGTCTGCGCATTATCCGGGAAGCTGCAGAATCAGGCTCTGCCCCATGTCGTCTTTCCAGGTGATCCTCTCCTCCCCCACTCTGTTCTCCCTGACTCCTAGTCCCAACCCACTCTGCTTAGTGGTATGGGGGGGAGTCGGGGTGCAGGGAGGAGGGTCCCCTCCATTCCACAAGATGTCAGTGTGTGGGGGTAGAGGGACTTCTGGGACCACACAGAGGCAGAGGGTGGCCTGAATTCTGGAACAAGGGCTGCCTGCTCCCCTGAACTCCGCTCCTCCGAGGGGCTTCTTCAGACAGATGCCTCTGGTCGGTAAGAGGCAAAAGAAGAGCCCCCCCCTCCCCAATCCCTGCCCTCAGCTCCCAGCAGGAAAACTTGTTACTAAAGTTGGCTTTCCTGCGAGAGCCCCCCTTTCCCCTGGAGGACATGTGGGACGGCACTGCCCACAGTCTGGCGGCCCTGCACGGGGGCGGGGACCCTCGTCATCACCCAGTCTGTCCTTGCCATCCTCCCAGCCCCTCTGCAAACCCACTGGGTCAGTGACGTTCCCCCATGGTCGACTGCTCCCCCGGGATCTCCTGGCCTGGAAGGAGAACACAGGCCGGTGTGGACAGGCAAACACGCCGCTGTTTGTCCAGGGACCAGGGCGCCAGTTTGGAGGAACTCGCAGACCGCACATTCTGCCACCTCCCAGCACTTTTCCAAAACAGCCTGGCTGGGGCCGGGGCCTGGCTGCCCGGGGTGGTTGGGGGCTGGGAGCCAGGAACAGGGCTGGGAAAGCAGGGCCCGGGGACCAGGGGGACCGGCGGGGTGAGGCAACCAGGTGAGGGCAGAGGCAGTGCTTGGCCAGCCAGCGGGCTCCACTCTGACGTGACTTGGAGGGGAAAGAGAGCGCGAGGGAGCGGGGCTGTGTGTATGTCTGTGTTGGGGGCTAAAGGAAAAACAAACCGACCTGCCTGGGAGTCCCCGGCCCAGCCAGCCCGGCTCCAGCTCTCAGCGCAGGAGAGCGGAGCCAGTGCAGAGGCTGTTCTTCATCTCTGCTCAGTTGCCTCTCCACGCATGGTCGAATCTTCCTTCACAGAGCCTCCTCCGCCACCAGA